ATGCGCACTTTTAAAAAATTTCAACAATTATTTAGCTTGAAGTCTATAACTTTGGTTTCAGTCCAATGAGAATCGAAATCGCAACGGCAGTACCGATAGCAACAACTAAGAAGAAGAGTAGAATGAACCATTGTAGACGTTGAGCCTGAAAGTCGTAGATTTGGCTATGCGGTTGGCTGCACTCTACCGTAACCTTTTCGATATCTTCCGAAACGGCGGTACCACTGGAACCACCTACCCGAACCATCTCCATTTCACTCACACGACGCCGACCGGTCCACCAAACTAAAAAATACTTTTTTAGGGGGCACTGAACTTTATTTTTGTCTTGATTCACCTTTGAAAGTCAGTGCTTCCATCGCTATTATGGTTAGTCCAGCTATAGCTACAAACGCAATGTAAAGACCAAGAGCAGCATCACGGTCGCTGAACATGCCTTTGAAATGTACGACGGCTATCATTATGGCGGCAACTGAAAATATGCTTTATTCAATAAGTATCAACTTTATAATTTTTATTGTGCAGTGACGATGTGCTATTCTATCACAAATTCAATAAGGAATGGCTTACCAGCGCACAGCCATGCGCCTGCTCCAAAGAAACCATGCACTATGTTGAAAATAGGTCTAGCTTTATGATCTGGGTGGCACCTGCAAATTAATACTATCTCAGTAGGGATAGGGGAGGGGGTAAAAACAAAGCAGAATAACAAAAAAGTGTTACCTGAACACAGCACCGAGTGGCTGAGCCCATGCGACAACGCAAGCGATCAAGCCAAGCATGGCATGTACCGAACTCCATCTGTTGTTCTATAATTAGTAATACGACGTCATTTTATGATAAAAGACTCCATGAGTCTGAAGATAGTTTTGAAATGAAGATTTTTTGACCTTTAAGCAACAACCTACCTACCATCTGCTACCGTATTCCATTGTCTCAAACCATTATCAGGAATCTATGGATTACTGTAGCGAGCACAAATTCTTTCTATGATTTGAAACATAAGGTAGTTTATGAAACTATGAGTTTTTGTGGGAGGATAGCATACCAAAAATGGGCTCCCCTCCCCCAGACAACTGTTACGAAAAGCAGCGTATAAGGAGCGCGTAATTTGTGGCAGGTATAACGAAAGGCCAAACATATCATATTAACCCCTCGTTCGGTCCTTGTCACTTCTATCTACCGGGTGGTCTTTTATTAGGTGTTGTTCACTAAGTTTTGCAACTACTTTTATAACTTTTC